AAACTGCACTTTAGAACAAATGGTGCTAGTAGATATTTATAAAACATTCTACCACAGAACTGCAGTATAAACAAACATTTTTCTCAGCAGCACATGGAATATTCTCCAAGATGGACCACAAAATAAATCTCAATAAATTTTCAAAATTTAAAATAATCTCAAGTATCTTCTCAGACCACAGTGGAATAAAACTAGAAATCAACTCATAAAGGACGCTTCAAAACTATACAAATACATGGAAATTAAACAACCTGCTCCTGAACAATTTTTTGGGTTAACAATGAAATCAAGATGGAAATTTAAATTTTTTTCAAAATGAATGATAATAGTGACACAAGTTATCAAAACCTCTGAGATACAGCAAAAGCAGTGCCAAGAGGAAAGTTTATAGTGCTAAATTTCTACATCACAAGGTATGAAAGATCACAAATTGACAACCTAACATACCTCAAGAAACTAGAGAAACAAGAAGAAACCAAACCCAAAGCTAGCAGAAGAAGAAAAAAAAAATAACAGGGCCAGGTGCAGTGGCTCGTGCCTATAATCCTAGCACTTCCAGAGGCTGAGGCAGGCAGATCACGAGGTCAGGAGATCGAGACCATCCTGGCTAACACGGTGAAACCCCGTCTCTACTAAAATTACAAAAAAATTAGCCAGGCGTGGTGGTGGGCGCCTGTAGTCCCAGATACTTGGGAGGCTGAGGCAGAAGAATGGCGTGAACCCAGGAAGCAGAGCTTGCAGTGAGCTGAGATCATGCCACTGCACTCTAGCCTGGGTGACAGAGCAAGAGTCTATCTCTAAAAAAATAATAATAAATAACAAAGATCAGAGCAGAACTAAATGAAATTGAAACAAAAAAATACAAAAGGTCAATGAAATGAGAAGTTAGCTCTTTGAAAAGATTTTTTAAAATGATAGACCATTAAGTAGATTAACCAAGAGAAGAAGAGATTAAACTCAATTAAAAATGAAAATAGAGATATTTCAATTGCCACTACAGAAATACAAAAGAACATCGAGATGGCTGTGAACACTTCTATGCAAACAAACTAGAAAATCTAGAGGAAATGGAAGCCTAGATGAAATGGATAAATTCCTAGAAACATACAGTCCTCCTAGCTTGAATCAGGAAGAAATAGAAATCCTGAACAGACCAATAACAAGGAATGAGATTGAATCAGTAATAAAAAACAAATTGCCAACAAGAAAAACCCCAGGTGAATCAGACAGGCTCACAACCAAATTCTAACATACATTCAAAGAAGAATTGATACCTATCCTACCGAAATGATTCCAAAAAATTGAGAAAAAGGGAATCCTCTCTAATTCATTCTATTAAGCCAGTATCACCCTAATATCAAAGCCAGGAAAAAAGGTAACAGAAAAAGAGGACTACAGACCAGCCAGGTGCAGTGGCTCACACCTGTAATCCCAACACTTTGGGAGGCCAAGGTAGTAGATCAAGCTCCATTACCCCTAGTCAAAACGAGTGTGTGTGTGTGTATATGATTTTTACATTTTATATTTAAGCCTCTAAGAATGAATGGACTGCCATGTTCCAATTTTGAGGCAGTATGTATGAGTGAAAGAGTACTGCCGTAGGAGAAAGATGATCTGATGCTAGTTTCAACTATTTACAAGCTGTATGACGTGGAACAACTTCCTAAACCTTTCTGATCTTCAGTGTTCTTATAAAGAAACGTATTTTTTAAAAGACTCCTAATTTGTGTGAAATATGAGTGAAAAAGACAATGTGTTTAAAGGAGGCTTTCACCTGCAGGGAAGCTTTGATGGAGCAGGAGAGATCTTGCTTTTCCAGCTCAACATGTATTCCCAGTCTCATCTCCCATCACCAACTCTGCATTTCCTATCCTTCGATAAAGGACACGTATTTGTCTTCAAACATCATCTACTCTTTCACAAATTCAGGATGAAACACAGCTTCTCTTCTACGTTGGGATGCTTTTATTCCCTACTGTTCACTGGAGGGAAGAGAATATTTCTTTCCTGCTCCTTATGGGTAGAAAAAGTCTCCACTCAATCTTTTCCAGCTATTACAGGACTTAATCTAATTGGTCAAAACTGGAGATGTTTACTAGGCTGTGTTCACTAGGAGGCATAATCATTAAAGACAGGCCTACTCATGCATTCTCTCTCTCACAATTTCTACCTAAATGTGGTAAGCAGACCTTGGCAGGCCCTAGTATCTCAGGGCAGACAGCTGCCTTCTTTCCTCCCTCTTCCAGCTTTCATGTGGTTAGGTGGGTAATTAAACCCAAGAGTCCACTTGAATAAGATCAGTCTCTCATTCTCCACAAATAACCTAAGCGTGCCAAGAATCAAATGTGGTGGTAAGGGCAGTGAGGATGGAGAGGACGGCAGAATAAGAAGCGCTGGCATTGCTTTGAGCCTTAGTTTCATGCTCTATCTCAACCTTTAGGAGCAAGCTCCATGTTAAGGTATTGCACGCTGCATAGCTCTTAAGAAAACGGTTCTATTCGTGTTCCTTGTATGTTCCTCTCTCAGAGATGCAAAGGAAACTACTGGGATGATTGACAGAGTGGGATGATGGACAGGGTGGGATTCAGTCACTCCTGGTCCCTGTGTCTGTAACACCATCACCCTCAACTTTACCTCCAGTGCGACCCTTCCAGCCTGCACTCAAATGCCAACCCCATGAACCCTCACTCAACCCCTATTCAGAATTCCCTGCTCCCAGCTAGCCTCCCACAGCACTTTACTCACACCTCCAGTACAGCCTACATTTTATTCCCCAATGTTGCACTGATTTGTGCATGTCTGCCTCCACTTTCATAGTTGAAATTCTCCATAAAAATTTATTCTATATACGTCCTCCTCAGCTCCCACAGCTATGTCTGGGAAACAATAAGTCCTCAATAATTGTGTTAAAGGAATATTAATTTAACATTACTTAAATGCTATCTGCATTTATTCTCCACAAGGGAATTCATATCTACCATCTTCATAGTTTATCTCGAGAGAAAGCTGAAAGAAAAGGTCCCTGAAAGCCTCTCAGAATTACTGAGCTAACTTAGAAAACCCTGAAATCACTGTAGCATTTCTTTTCCATTTTCCCTGAGAAACTTTCGTAACTCCTTGTGTGGGCTTTATTCAGGCTTTTAAAGCTTATATGCTTCTTCTAGTGTCACATATCTTTCTAGAAGTTTCATAATATCACTGCAGATTTGTTGGGAGAAAATTCTCCCATCAAATTCTCCTGCCTGGTAAACAGTCTTTAAAACATTTGTAGTTGGAGTTCCCATTGAGCTGAGTGGCCAAAAGTTCGTGTGTTAACCCTAGCTTGCCTGGGACCTGTGGCTGACTGACCACATTAATTTGGGGCCCCTGCTTTCCCCCTACCTACTGCAGTTTGAGGTTTTTTTGCTTACTGTCAAGGAACAGCTACCTGCTCAGACTGATGTCAGCACTGTTTTCAGGACTTTATATGCAATAAAACACAGCCACCCTCTGAAGTAAGAGCTGTTAACTATCCACATATGACTGACAGGGAAACTGAGGCCTTGACTTTTTTCACGGCTCCCTCAAGGCTGCACAGCTGCAAATGGCAGGAGGAGGTTCCATTTATAAGGCCCCACCATGTCTCAATCAGGAGAACACAGACTCTAGGGTCAGACAAAATGGGTCCTGTCTGCGTAACCTTTATAAGTCATGAATATCGCAAACACAGGCATGCAAGAAATGTAACCTTAATTTTTTTGTCTCTTTAATTTTTTAATGGGAGCACAATTTATAGTCAGTTAAATACTCAGATCTTAAGTGTACAGTTTGATAACTTTTGATCAATACTGGCACCCATGTAATGTACACCCCCGTCAAGATCTAGAATATATTTATCATGCCCAGAAAGTTCTTTGAACCTCATCCCAGTCAGTTCCCACCCCTCCAGGAAATTATTTTGTTTTCTGTCTCATAGCTTAATTATTTAATTTGTTATCTTTAACTTGACCTAATTTCTTCAAACTCCCATTCCATGTAGTATCAGAAACGTCATCTCAGCGCATCTTCAGAGCTCTTCCCATTCTGTTTACCTGGAGTTCTCTATAACATTTAGATTAGGTTGGGATACATGGCTCACATTTTGTGAGATGGTGGGAGGTGCTCTCAGTTGCTGCCTATACATCTGATCTCTGCAGAACAATCCCTGCCCTACCTGGTTCTCAGCTACTGGCCCACGAAGGATGCTGCTCGATTTCCTTATCTCCAGCATTAAGGTCTCTTGAGCCTGGACCCTTTCTCAGCTACACCCATGCCTCTTTAAGTACAAAAGACCATTTACAGCCCTGTGGCCACAGTTCTGCCCCACACCACTGAGTGGAGGATTCCCTGAGGCTCTCAAAGGCCCTCTCTTCCTAGACCCACCACAAAGCTACACCTTCTCTGACATACTATCACCTCTCCAGGCACAACTGGGAAAAGTCACCTCTTCCCTTGGATCTCACAAAGCAAAGAGGGTTCATCCACCATCATCCTTCTTGCTTGGTCTATGCAGAGTAGAGCAGTATAGAGCAAAAGACTACTTTTTTCCAAGAGAACCCCAATACATACTCTCTTCATCCCTTTAATATCCTCCCTAACTCCTGAGAAATCTTTCGGAGTCTCAGGATTAGACACATCAGACATCTCAGTGTATTTTTGCTGTTCCTCCAGAATCACCCCTTCCCTAAGGTAAGAGATGGGCATGGTGTCCTGTAGCAAGGAGGAAGAATTTCAGTGTAGCAGAAAATCCAAAGAAAAGAACCACATAAGTTAACAGGTTGAAATCTCATCCCAGTGCAGAGAAAAAGAGTGGTGTAATAAGACCATAGGGCTGTTGCATTAGTGAGCTGATTCCTGCCAAACACTGATGTAGTTAGAACTTAACAGATTGGCATTATTATTATATCTAGATATGGAGAGTGTTATCAAATTAAACTTGAACCAAAAATCTTTACTTTTTGTTATCTGCGTATTGTCTACAGGTAGGATGGCCATGAGCTGACAATGGCACCTGGAAGGATATTGTGAAACACTGGACTGACAGGAAGTTTGGAAAGCCCTGAGTAGCTGAGATGGAGGAAGTGAGTGAAGGTAGTAGCAAAGAAATGTGAAGTATGGCTTGGGTCATTGCCGACAGTTGCATTCACAGCCAGTGAAAATCGAAGAACATACAAGCATACAAGTTAAGCAGGTGAGCGAGAGTTATATACCTAGTTGCCTGGACCCAGAGTTGCACCAGAATCTTTTTGAAAACTGAACAGCTAATGAATTTCCATCTTCATGGTCATATCTCTCCATGCCAAATAATATGCTATTAAATTAAGTTTAGCCTTAAGCTACCTCCTTACATATTTTGAGTTTGGCCTAAAGATTTCTCTGTACTTAGCGAATTGTATCCTAACTGGATGTGTAAACAGACTGTAACCTACTTTTGTACCAGTCATTGAGATTTAGCCAAACAAAGGCAGCCAACTGTTCAACCCAGGTTCAAATAAAATAAACATTCAGCTGTAACCAATCTGACTGTTTCTGTACCTTATTTCTATTTTCTGTATGCCATTTTCCTTTTTCTACCCATATATCTTCAACCATACAGTAGCACTGGAACCTCTCTGAACCTATTCTGGTTTGGGGGCTGCCCAATTCACAAATTATTCTTTGCTCAATTAAACTCTGTTAAATTGAGTGTGTCTAAGGTTTTAACAATGCTATGGTAGAAGAACCCAAGCCATGCACCTCTGGGTGTGAGCTCAGCAGCCCAGCATGGTTGACTAACTCTAGAGTCAGACTCCCAGGCTCTACCACAGAAGAGTTATGTAACCTGGGCAATTTACTTAGCTGTTCTTTCCCTCCAATTCTTACTCAACAAAATGGTGAAAATGGTTCGAGGTACAAAGGAGATGCCTTTCTCTTCACCTTTGGTTTCCAAGAAAGAGATTGTCCCTAAACACTCCTGGGTGCTTGGCCCCATCATCTCCCCCAGTCAGAGATGGATTGAGTTACCTAGTTGGTGAATGGCAGCTGTTGATACACATTTTTTGTGTGTGGGTGGAGTTTATTTATCAAAGTCCGAAGCACAGAAGTTTCCATCTCTCTTTGGACGCTACCTCACCTGGATAAGTGAAAGGGCATCATCATGCATATGTCTGCTCTGCAGACCCCAATATCAATTGAATGGGCTTTTTCAAGGTCTAATTTGCATACAAGAGCATTAGAAAGTGCAATATTACCACTTGTCTAAGCCTTGTTCTCTAATTCAGTTTTCATCAATATCTTAGCTGATCCATTTACTTCTGTCTGCCTCGCTGCTTTTTGTACTCATTAGTCCCCTCAAACTCCAGCAATAATGATGCTTCCCATATACAATCTTGGTGATGATGACTGAGATAATAAAGGTGTAAAGTGTCTGAAACATATTACATGCTCAATAAATGTTTGTTATTACAATTATTAATGGATAATTCACTTCTACAAATGATGTAAACTCCTATTCTCTAAGTTTTCTTGTTGTACAAATGTCATTAATAATTGTATGGCTTAAATAAGAAAATGCATATAGGTTACTTGGCACGTGGATTGGCACTCAATAAACAGTGCCCCTCCCCAATTCCAGTTGAAATGTATTAGAAGAGCATTTTGACTGTTGCATGGCACAGCAACAAACAATAAAACAATGTTTTACAAATCCTCTACTACAGAATGGGTTTCCCAAATTGTATATAACATGTGTTCCCATGCAAGATAATTGATGTGCTATATAACCCTCCCTCAAGGCCCTCACCAAATGTTCTCTCCTCCATAAAGACTTTTGTAGATTACCCAAAGTCCTATAGAACCTGTAGAACCTGTCTGCTCCCATCTTACCCCATATATAAGAGAGATTTATTTGAGTATTTACCCCAGAAATGGCATGATATTTTAAGACAGAAGATCCAGCCTTCCAAACTGGATTTGTCACTTACAGAATATGTCATTTAATGTCTCAGTTGGTTTATATATAAAATGGGTGTTCATAATGAGATGCATCGCATAGCATTGCACTGAAAAGCAAGCAAGAGATTACACATGAAAGTGCTTCGAAAACAAGAATGCACTATAAAAGGTCTCTGCATATAATATTATGTTAAGGGTGAATCTAGGTTAACGAGAAGTACCATCTGTTTGTGGGCAAACTAGTTAAAAAGAACACAAATCTCAAGAGAATGGATGTCATCTGTGCCTGTTGTGAAATACACAACAAACTGTCTTCTGATGGAGTCAATTTACAAGACATCAGAAGTTTTAAGTGCTTCCTTTTATGGATTTCATGACTCTTGGGATATTGTTGCTATTATTATCATTATCATCATCACCAGACTCATATATTATGCTAGAGCAGAGGGAAGGTAGACAATTTTTAAAACATAAACTGACAGAAGCTGCTGCTTCCCTCCAAGGGAGTGGCGTAATTCAAGGGAATATAAGGCACAATTGTATATGAATCATCTTGATGTGTCCTTTTGTAGGAGAAAAGTGAGACCCCTGGGCTGAACCCAGATGAGAAAGGGGAGGCAAAGAGAGAGAGGAATTGCTCAAAATCCTAAGGGAAAATAAATTTGGAGTTACAAAGGGGCAAAAGCAGAGAAAAAGAGTTTGGAACCTCATAAATTAAGAAACGGAGGGAAATGAAAGGCATTTGGGAGAGAGAAGAAGGGAAAAAAATGAGAAAGAGACAAAGAAAAGTGGAGAGTGTGATAGAATCAGAGACCAAAACAACATGGCAGGGAGGGGTGGAATCTACCTCTTGGACTGGAAGACAGTGATTCTCATCACTCCTGTGCAAAAACGAAGTAAGAGGGGAGCATGGATCTGGAATCTCCCGAACACTCCCAACTCCAGAACCTCAGAAATCTTGGGGAACGGACACACTACATGGGGACTCAGATAATTGTATTTAAATCTTAAAAATATTCCCAGAATATAACGTAAGCCTCTGGGAGGTGGATTCCTGAGCTACACTGAATTGATTTCCATTACTTTTCAAACATGAAATAGGGAGGAAGCACAGAAATCACCAGATGCAACGACCTCAATCTGGCAATGAAGAAATGGAGAAAGACCCAGAGGCACTGGGCAACCTGGCAACCAATTCATTACCGTTGGCTTATTGAACCAGGTACATTTGATAAGGAACAATAACAAGGTTTCGTTTCTTTGTGTGTTGTCATTTCCTTGTGTGTTGTCATTTTTACTGTTTTGGCACTACCTCAATCTGTTCTGTTGCATCTCCCTGGTTTTCCCCTTAACAGCATCTCAAGCAGATACTAAAGATGTTTAGTCATTTTCACCTATAAGAACAGTTCCATGTTCAGGTATCAGAAAATCTAATCTTGCTATATCAACCCTTTCATCTCAATGTTCTTTGGAAGCTCCCCCTCTCCTATTTCTCAGCTCTGGAACCAGCAGCGGGGAGCAGGGGTGAGGGACATGCCTGGTTCCACCTCCTTCCTTGCTCCATATCTCCCTCCACTACACCTGCTCCTTTGGGTTCCTTCAGTGTCCAGACAAGAGAAGAGTGAAAGATAAGAGGAAATACACAAAAAGTGTTTTTACTTAGCTTAAGTATTCGAAGCCCTCTCTGGACTATCAAATGCTCTGTGATGGCAGGCATGCAAGGCTAGCTCTTTCCTGTGGGGGTCTTTGTGGGGCACTGAACATCCTCAGCCTACACCACAGAGCAAGTTCACCAGGCACTGAGTCAGTTCCTACTTAGGGTTCCTCATCTTCAAGTTAGACTGTGGGACCACACCTCCCTCCTCTCTTTGGCACAAACAATCCCAATTGCCATGTCCTGTGTTTCTCATAATTGCCTTCAAAGATGCCTTCGCAATGGCTCTCCAGCCGTTTCTGCAAAGCAGGGTTGATGTTCACTGGATCTGCATGGGCATTCATGGTGAAACTGTGGAGACAAGTCTCAGACTGCATGGGGAACCTGTCATCCATGGTGATCTTGGCCAATTTGCCTCTCAGTCTCCTAGTTTCTTTGTTGATGAAATGGGCACGATAATAACAGTACCCATCACAGAGGGTGTTTTAAGGATTAAGTGAGGAAATACATGCAAAGCTCTAACAGCAGTTTCTCATCCATAATTATAAATGTTAGCTATCATTTTTCTGATTGTTCCCGGCTATGGATCCTCAGCCAAAACTCTGAAGCCACAGGAAATAACCAATTAAATGCCATGTTTCACCCAGATGTCCCCCAGTTCAATCACCTCATCTTCCAATGAGGAAACAGAGACCCAGAGGCACTGGGAAATAAATCCAACCCTGAATGGTGTTTCCCCTTCTCAGTGTCCACAACATTCATTACCCAAAATATATATTCTGGAAAATTATTGCATTTGGTTTAGCATTTGATTATAGAGTGTCTAATCCTTTTCTCTAAAATAGCATGATGAATAAGATTTTTCCTAAGAATTAAAGCTTAGAGCTGAGAACAAGGAAGCCCTAATTACCCCCACATTCTAAGGAGGGCTGTAAGCAATTAGGCCTGTACTTCTCTCCCAGGGATTACTAAGAAGTATAAGAATCTTCCCTGTAAAAGCCTTCAAGCATCCCACCCTTCTTATCATGGTATAAAAGAGAGAAAGAAAGAAAGGGCAGGAATAATTGGCCTTGCAGATGCAGTTACTAGATAAAATACAGGGCACACAGGTAAATTTAAGTTTCAGATCAACAGGAATAACTTTTCTTACTATAAGTATGTTCCAAATATTGCATAGGACATAATTATACTAAAAACTTATTACTTGTTTATTGGAAATTTCCATTTACCTGGTTGTCCTGTATTTTTATTTGCTAAATCTGGCAACCTTAGTAGGAAGAGCAGTGTTTCTGATAAGAGTGAACTCTGTCCCCTCTGCGATGGCCAGAATAACGCTGAGCACTCCTCAGAGGACACCACCCGCACTCTTCAGAGGCCACCATCTTTGATAAAATTGCCGAGAACAGGTCAAACCACACCAAACCAGAGAGTAACAAGGAATGTTTCTTCACTGTTATCACATGGTCATTGCAAAATAGAGTCCCTGCCTTCTCTAGCTCCAGAGAAGCTGAATTAAGATGAGGAGAAGGAAGGAGATGTGTGTGTGTCTCATTTGGGGACAAAACAGATTATGATCATCTCACACCTCTCTCTCTCTTTCAACTCCAAAGTGGAGGAGAAATGAAACTGCAGATCTCATGATCACACATCTCTTCCCATTTCAGGTCACTCAATACGAAGTTTAAAAATATACTTCGGATTAAAGCTTTAACCTGGAGCACACTTTTAAAAATTAAAAGGGGGATGTATTAGTCTGTTCTTGTACTGCTAATAAAGACATACCCAAGACTGGGTAATTTATAAAGGAAAGAAGTTTAATTGACTCACAGTTCCACATGGCTGGGGAGGCCTCATAATTATGGCAGAAGACAAAGGAGAAGAAAAGACCGATTTACATGGTGGCAGGAAAGAAAGCGTGTGTGGGGAACTGCTCTTTATAAAACCATCAGATCTCATGGGACTTATTCATTACCATGAGAACAATATAGGGTAAACTGTCCCCATGATTCATTTATCTCCACCTGGCCCGAACCCTTGACATGAGGGGATTATTACAATTCAAGGTGAGATTTGGGTGGTGACACAGCCAAACCATATCAAGGACAGAACTTCTGCTTTCAGAAAGATGAAGTAGATATATTCTATCCCATTCTTCCCTAAGTACAAACAGAAATCTTGGACATGGCATGTATATATTTTTTAAAAAAAAAGGACAAAAGGGTGGAGAGAGGAAGACAGATAAGCTAGGAGCCTCAGGACGTGAGAATGATGCCATGATGAGTTCTCTATTTTTTGTTTATTTGTTTGGTTGGTTGGTTTTGCTTCATGTATCTCAGACTGTATACTGGAGAAGCCAGCAACTCAGAAATACCACTGACTCAGGCAAAAAAAAAAAAAAAAAAAAAAAAAAAAAAAAAGCCACACGGAAAGCTTGCTCTTTCTAGCCAAATGATCCAAAAAATGGGCAGCCTGGCAAGGTAGAAGGCTTTCAGAAAATGATTTCTCCACTCTAGCCAAACACCACTTTGCTGGTAACCCCACCAATAAAGAAAGGTAAAGTGGAGAACATAGACCTCACTCTTGCTGGGCTATAACAAGATGCCCAGCTCCCTTGCTGGGGTGCATTCAGAGATGGTTGAGTCAGGAATCAAGCCTTTAATCACTACTCAGCAATAAGGAGGCCTCTCTCCATTCTCCCTCACCTCCTCTGAGGTATCAGTGGGGTCCACATGGGGAGGCTGGACTTCCACCCCCACTAGATAGTAACAAGAAGCTTCTCACCCTGTCTACCATTAGGGTAGACAGGGAGATGGGAGAACTTTAAATACTACTCATGAGTGCTGAGGCAAGCACTCCACTGACAGAGTCAGGGGAGGCCATGTGGGGAGTGGTAAGAAAGTTCCCTGATGGGAGACAGAATTCCCACACCCACCCAGCAGTTACAAAGAGCACTTTCCACCCACAAATGTCAATGGAGGCTGAACGGAGAAGTTGTAATTCAACCCCACCTGGAAGTAATTAGGTGGTTCCACACTTAACCCATCAGACTAGTTTCAGGATGTGCCTGCTAAAATAGAAGGAATAAATAACATCCTTAGAAGAGTCACAACATAATACCCAAAATGTTCTGGTTTCAACTGAAAATGACTCATCATATCAAAAATGAAGAAGATCTCAAACTGGGCAGAAAAATAGAGATGAACACTGAGATGACAATGATGTTCGGATTATCTGACAAGAACCATTAAAATGAGCAATTATGAACACACTTAAAACAAATGCTAAAATGGAAAGCTTTAGCATATAATAAAAAGCTTCAGCACACAAACAGAAGACATAAAGAGGAACCAAACAGAAATATTAAAACTGATAAATAAAAAATGGATAAAGGAAGTTCTCTAAGCAGAAATAAAATAAAAGAAGGAAACTTGGAAGATCAGGAAGAAAGAACAAACAGGAAAAATACGAACAAATACAATAGACTGTCTTTCTCTTCTCGAGTTGTCTCAATTATGTTTGATGATTTAAGCAAAAATTATAACATTGTCTGATGTGGTTCTCAGTGTATATGGATTATAGCATAAGTGAAGGAAGGTAAAGAGACATACAGGGAGGTAATATCTTTCTGCACTTCATTTAAACTAGTGAAGTGTTCATACCAGTAGGTTGTGACAAATTGTAAATATGCAGTGTTATACCTAGAATAACCACTAAAAACAGCTAATAAAATATATAGATATTTACAATAGTGAAGACATGGAATCAGCCTACATGCCCATTGACGGTAGACTGGATAAAGAAAATGTGATACATATATACCATGGAATATTATGTAGCCATAAAAATGAGATCTTGTCCTTAGCAGGGACATGGATGGAGCTGGTGGCTATTATGCTTAGGAAACTAAAACAAGAACAGAAAACCAAATACTGCATGTTCTCACTTAAAAGTGAGAGCTAAATGATGAGAACATATGGATATACGGGGGGATACACTGGGGCCTTTTGGAGGGGGGAGGGTGGGAGAAAGGAGAGGATCAGAAAAAAACTACTAATGGTACTAGGCTTAATACCTGGGTGATGAAGCAATCTGTCCAACAAAGCCCATGAAACAAGTTTACCTATGTAACAAACCTGAGCTTGTACCCCTGAGCTTAAAATAAAAGTTAAAAATAAATACGTAAATCTATTTCAGTTAAAAAATAGATAAATAAAAATGGATTTACAAAAAGCATTCAAGTAACTCACAGATAGGTATAAAAGAGAAAATAGAGAAGCGAAAAACAGAACAAATGGGGCATGGGGAGCAGACTTAAGCCTTAACATATTAATGATTACATAAAATGTAAAATGTTGAATTACACCAATTAATACATAAAAACTGAAAGAGTAGATAAGAAAAAATATGACCAAACTTATGCTGTCTACAATAAATCATTTCAAATATAATTATATAGATAGGTTGAAAGTAAAAAATGGAAAAAGGTGTAATACAGAAACTATAGTAGTCTGTTCTCACACTTCTATGAAGAAATACCTGAGAAAGGGTGATTTATAAGAAAAGAGGTTTAAGTGACTCACAGTTCCACATGGCTGGGGAAGCCTCAGAAAACTTACAATCATGATGGAAAGCACCTCTTCACAAGGCGGCAGGAGAAAGAATGAGTGCAGAGTGTAGAGGGAAGTCCCTTATAAAACCATCAGATCTCATGAGAACTCACTCACTATCATTAGAACAGCATAGGGAAACCACCCCCATGATTTAATTATCTCCACTGAGTCCTGCCCTTGACATGTGGGGATTATTACAATCAAAGGTGAGATTTGGGTGGGGACACAGAGCCAAACCATATCATTCCACCCCGGCCTTTCCCATATCTCATGTCCTCACATTTCAAAACACAATCATCCCCTTCCAACAGCCCCCACAAAGTCTTAACTCATTTCAGCATTAACCCAGAAGTCAACAGTCCAACGTTGCTTCTGCCTATAAACCTATAAAATTGAAACCAAGTTAGTCACTTTCTAGATACATTGGGGGTATAGTCATTGAGTAAATACACCCATTCCAAATGGCAGAAATTGGCCAAAACAAAGGGGATACGGGCCCCATGCAAGCCTGAAATTCAATAGGGCAGTCATTTAAACCGTAAAGTTCCAAAATAATTTTCTTTGACTCCATGTCTCATATCCAGAGCACACTAA